TAATTACGTACCTGTGACGGGTGAGTTAATTACGTACCTGTGACAGGTCAGCTAATTACGTACCTGTGTTAGTACCTGTGTTACAGGTGAGTTAATTACGTACCTGTGACGGATGAGCTAATTACGTACCTGTGACAGGTCAGCTAATTACGTACCTGTGACAGGTCAGCTAATTACCTACCTGTGTTAGTACCTGTGTTACAGGTGAGCTAATTACGTACCTGTGTTAGTACCTGTGGTACAGGTGAGTTAATTAAGGTGGCTAATCGGGGCGTCGCGTTGCTGATCGCAGGAAGAACGTGGAATACAGCGACGAGCTGATGGAGCGAGCTGTGAGCGTACAGAGCCGCCTCAAGTCATTCCTCACCATAGCTGATGCTTACATCCAGGTAGCTGTACGCACGCACGCACGCACGCACGCACGCACGCACGCACGCACGCGCTGACTTACTATACTGTATGCTATATATACTACACGACTACAACTACACACTACTATACTACAGACACTAACTATACTTAACTACTATACGTACTATAATACTACACGACTACGATACTCATGACTACTAACATAACGACTACTATACTGTACATAATTACTACCCACATACATAGCTACAATGACTCCTATACAGATACTACTACTATACTCGACTATATATACTACACGACTACTATACCTAACATGACTACATACTAGTACTACTACTATACTGCTACACTGCTACAGCGAGCTACTACACTATACTATACATAATACTAACACTACTACCTATAACTACATGACTACTATACTGTATTTTTTCAATATATACACACGACTACATATCATACATGACTACTAACTATACTACTACTATACTGTACCTATTATACGTACACCACACTATAGCTACATGACTACTAAGCTATAGCTAGCACTATACTGCTACACTCTAACCTAATACGCACACGACTACTATACTATACTATAACTATATATACAGCACGACTACTACCACCTATACTGCTGTCCTGCGCTCTGCTAGCTATTCCCCGCGACTACCAATCATGTAGAACTGATGCCGACAGCGTTTAGAACTCGGTCGATGTAAGCGACGACAGCGGCCATTGCTCCCGGACTTCTCATCCCGCGCTCCGGCTACAACACAAGATATGATATAGATATAGTTTTATGTATCGCTTTCAATATTGATAAGTACAAGAATTTTGTTTACGTGTGTTTTAATGTGTGCGTGTTCCTCTCTACCCATCCTGAAAGGTGAGAGACAGTGTAATAGCTGACACTGTCTACAGGGCGGATGCCAGGGCTGAAGCAACATATTTTTCCAGATTAAGGGTACATCCCCCAAAAGGCACACCAACCCCACAGTGGGGCGCCGTTAGGCCGGAAGCACAGCGGGGGTCTGGAGGGATATTAAAATTTGCAAGGGTCCTGGCACAAAAATGAGCACGCATTGAGCACACATTAGTGCAAGCACAATAGGCTAAAAACCATATGCGCATTTATTTCGCTTCATTTTGCCTGCGCATTTGCATACCAGCATAATGCAGAACGATTCCAGCACTCCCTTCCTTTGTTCATGATATTCAAAGCTAGTTTTGTTACCCAGTAAAGTGGATTCCTTCAAGTCCTGTCAATGATCAAAAAAAAGAAAAAAATAAAGAATAAGGCCAAATTCCCTCAAATTGTTCGAGTTTTAGCGCAATATATTCGAAGGCCATTTCAATCTAGACACGTATTTCCCAAATACGCAAATACGGTCCTAAATCGCCACTGCTGCTGTAACACAAAACACACACACAGCAGACTCCGAGAGAGCTAATTTAACACTGCTATCAACTGTCAAATGGCTAGGTGATACTCCATTAGGCATTTCCCACTTAATCATTAATGGTTAGGGTATTTTAGTTAGGTAGGTTGGATTAGGTAGGATTATCAATCAAACATAATCATTAACATTAATGATATCAACGTTGGGACCACTCCTAATGGAGCGTTTAGCCGTATGCGAAGAGAAGACCACACAACTCAGAACACACACACAACAGCGCACGCACGCACGCACCAACGCACGACAAGCACGCCCAGCACGCACAAATGCACGCACCAGGCACACACATGCACGCACGCAAAAACATCAACTGTAACAATATCACCAACCCACACCATACACCCCCATGCTTCATGTCTCGCGTCGTCGCGCTCACTTGACCCCCGGCTCGTGTCTCGCTCCTAACTTTGACTCCCCGCTCGCGTCCGCGTTCACCTGACCCCGCCGCGTCTCACGCTTACCCCCGGCTCGCGCTGCGCGTCTCACCTTGACCCGCCGACTCGTGTCTCGCGTCTCGCGTCTCACCCTTGACCCCGCTCGCGTCTGCGCGCGCTCACCATTGACGCCCCGTCGCGTCTCAGCTTGACCCCCTGCTCGCGTCTCCTTGACCTACCCCGCTCGCGTTCACGCTTGACAGCCCCGGCTCGGCTCGCGTCTCACCATTGGCCCCGCTCGCGTCTCACCTTAACCCCCGCCGCGTGCTCGCGTCTGCACCTTGACCCCGCTCGCGGTCTCAACCTGACGCCCGCATCGTTCCGCGTCTTCACCTGACCCCCGCTCGCGTCTCGCCGTCTCGACGTCTCACTATGACCCCCGGCTCACGCCTCGCTCTCACCTTGAACCCGGCTCACTCTCGCAGTCTCGCGTCTCACCTTGAACCCCCGGCTCGCGTCTCGCGTCTTCTGCGTCTCACCTGACCGCCCCGCTCGTGTCTCGGCGTCCACCTGAACCCCGCGCTCACCGTCTCGCGCTCGCGGTCTCACCTTGACGCCCCAGCTCGGCTACTCCGTCTGACACCTGACCCCCGGCTCGCGTCTCAACTTGACCCCGCTCGCGTCTCGCGTCTCGCGTCTCACCTTGAAACCGCCCGCTCACGTCTCGCGGCTCGCTCTCCACCTTGACTTCCGCGGCTCGTGTCTCGCGCTCACCTTGACCCCACGGCTCGTGTCCTCGGCGTCTCACCATGACCCGCCGCCACGTCTCGCGTCTCGCGCGTCACCTTGACCCCGGCTCACGTCTGCGCGTCCGCGTCTCACCTTGACCCCCGGCTCACGTCTCGACGTCTCGCGTCCACCTTGACACCCCGCTCACTTCGCGTCTCACCTTGACCCCGGCTCGTTCTCGTGTCTCACCTTTACCCCGTCTCACGTCTCGCGTCTCCCGCTTGACCCCCGGCTCGTGCTCGCGTCATCACCTGACCCCCGCTCGCGTCGCGTCTCCACCTGACCCCCAGGCTCGCGCCTCGCGTCTCACCTCTGACCCCGGCTTCGTTCTCGCGTCTCACCTTGACCCCCGCTCACGTCTCGCGTCATCCCAATGACCCCGCCGCGCTCGGTCCGCGTCCTCACCCTTGACACCCCGCTCGGCTCGCGTCCGCGTCTCACCTTGACTGCCCCCGCTCGTTTCACGTTTCAGCCTTACCCTCCGCTCGTTCTCACACTGACCCGGCTCGGTCTACGGCGTCTCACCTTGACCCCCGGCCGGCGCTCACCTTGCACCCCCGCCTCGCGTCTCGCGCCTCGCGATCCACCCTGACCGCCCGGCGCTCGCATCTGCGTCTCACCTTGACCGCCCGCTCGCGTCTCGCGCGCTCGCGTCTCACCTGACGCGCCCGCTCGCGTCTCGCTCTCACGCTTGACCCCCGCATCGTGTCTCCGCGTCTTGGCGTCCCACCTTACCCCCGGCTTCGTGTTCGGCGCTCACCGTTGACATACTCCGCTCGCGTCTCGTCGTCCACGCTGACCCCCGGCCGCGTCTCGCGCTCCACCTTGACCGCCCGGCCCGCTCTCACTTGACCCCCGGCTCGTGTCTCACCGACCCCCGCCGCGGTCTCGGCGTCTCACCTGAGCCCGGCTCGCGTCTGTCGCGTCCCCCTGACCCCCGCTCGTGTCCTCACCTTGACCCCGGCTCGCGATCTCACCTTGACACGTCCGCTCGTGTCTCACTGGACCACTCCGCGGCTGACGCGTCTCGCCGTCTCACCTTGACCCCGACCGCGTCTCGCTCCAACCTTGACCCCGGGCTTCGTGTCTCCCCTTGACCCCCGCTCGCGTCTCAACCTGACCCCCGCTCGTTTCCAGCAGACGTTGCGAGACATGCATCCCAGCTCCATGATGGCGTCCATCACGCTCGAGCGGGTGTCGAAGTCGCTCAACGCGACGTGCAACCCCGCCGCGACGTCCATCCAGGTGGCGGCATGCATTCCGCCTCGTCGATCCGCCTGCGTGCCTCGACCTCGCCCCTGAACATAAGACGTCACCGAATTAGTAAACTAGAGAAATATGTCCCCTTTTTTCATTAAAATCCTAAATGCTTGTTCACTTTTATGGCGCGTGCGTGCGTGCGGCGTGCCGTCGGCGTGCTGCGTTGCGGCGTGCGTGCGTGCGTGCGTGCTGGTGCGTACAGCTACCTGATGTAAGCATCACTATGGTGAGGAATGACTTAGCGGCTCTGTAACGGGCTCACGGCTCGTCCATCAGTCGCGTGCGTGCGTGCGTGCGCGTCGCGGCCGGGCGGCGTGCGATACAGCTACCTGGATTAACATCAGCATGTGAAGGAATACTGAGCGGCTCGTAGTCGCCACCGCGCGCCCATCAGCGCGTGCGTGCGTGCGTGCGTGCGTGGTGCGGCGTGCGTACAGCTTACCTGGATGTAAGCATCAGCTATTGAGGAAATGATGAGGGCGGCCTGTACGCTCAACCAGCTCGCTCCACACGCGTGCGTGCGTGCGTGCGTGCGTGCGTGCCGTGCGAAGCACCTGATGTAAGCATCCAGCTATGCGTGAGGAAAGACTGAGGCGCTCTGTACGCTCAACCGCTCGCGCCATCAAGCGCGTTCGTGCGTGCGTGCGTGCGCGTGCGTGCGTGCGTGCGTACAGCTCCTGATTGAACATCACTATGGTGAAGGAATGACTTGCGGCGCTCTGACGCTCACCGCTTCGCTCCATCAAGCGCGTGCTGCGTGCGTGCGCTCGCGTCCGTGCGTACAGCTTACGGAATCGTAAGCATCAGCTATGGGGAGAACTGACTTGAGGCGCTCGTACGCCCTCACCGCTCGACTCCACAGCGCGTGCGTGCGTCGGCGTGCGTGCGTGCGTGCTGCGTGCGACAGCTACCCTGATGCTAAGCATCCAGCTATGTAGGTAATGACTTGAAGGCGCTCGTACGCTCACCTCGCTCGCATCACGCGTGCGTGCGTGCGTGCGTGCGTGCTGCCGTGCGATCGATACGCTACAGCTACCTGGATTTAAGCATCAGCTATGTGATGAAAGGGGGGGGGACGTGAGGCGGCTCTGACGCCACCGCTCGCTCCTCAGCGGCGTCGTGCGTCGTGCGTGGTGCGTGCGTGCGTGCGACAGCTCCCTCGATTAACATCAGCTATGGTGAGGAATGACTTGAGGCGGCTCTGTACGCTCACCGCTCGCTCCATCAGCGCGTGCGTGCGTGCGTGCGTGCGTGCGTGCGTGCGTGGCAGGCTACCTGGATGAACCATCAGCTATGGTATGAATGACTTGAGGCGGCTCTGTACTCTCACCGCCTCGGCTCCATCACGCGTGCGTGGTGCGTCGCGTGCGATGCTAAGCTACCTGATGTAAGCAATCACTAGGTGAGGATGACTTGAAGGCCGCTCTGTACGCTCACCGCTCGCTCCATCAGCGCGTGCGTGCGTGCGTGCGTGCGTGCGTAGCGTTGTGCGTGCGTGCGTACAGCACCTGGATGACACATCAGCTATGTGAGAATGACTTGAGCGCTCTGTACCCAACGCTCGCTCGCATCAGCTCGTGCGTGCGTGCGTGCGTGCGTGCCGTGGCGTGCGTGCGGCGTGCGTACCGCTACCTGGAACGTAAGCATCAGCTATGGGTGAGAATGACTGAGGCGGCTCTGCACGGCACTCACCGCCGCTCCACCGCGCGTGCGTCGGCGCTGCTGCGTGCTGCGTGCGTGCGTGCGTACGTACAGCTACTGATGTAAGCATCCAGCTGTGGTGAGAAGACTTCAGGCGCTCTGTACGCTCACCGCTCGCTCCA